CTATCAGCATATTAGAAAGATTATAGCATACAATATTATGTAGGCATGTGATGCCATGGGGTCTACAAAACAGATCTCAGAGAATGCCTCTGGATAGACAGATTCTATCTGCAATCATTTCAAATAACTTTTTTTTTTTTTTTAATTGAAGTCCATCCTTGCTCTGAAAGGCAGTTGGCACTAACACTGAATCAGCTTTCTTCATAAGTTCATTAATATGATCACATGGAAAATTAAAACATCAAGAATTCATTGGTCATCTAAAGTAACTGACCTTTAAGAATTGAACTTTTCTCATATTAGACCAATAAGGAAACATGCTTCTAAGAAAAGAGAATGATCATTACTCTGGGAAAGAGCCTTTGAATGTAGCCTTTAAGACATTGTTTTGCTTTCATTGTTATGCTTTCATTTGAAGATCAACTGGAGAAAAATTACAGGTGTTTTCTGATGAGTATAAAGCATATCTCTGTGTGAAAGAGTGGACAAATGGACTTAAAACAAATCCGATCTTTGCCCATAAGTACTTTACATTTACATTTACAACCAATAATAAAAAACAGTTCTAAAAAAAGATTACTCAAAATTTACCACCAGAAGAAATAACAGTCTAATCTCGTTCTCTACACTAAAATATCTGTTTCAGAGCTCAAGTATTACAAGAATGAAATTCATTGCCAATGTGTTTTACTTTTTGACACTTTCTGTCACATTCATTTATGGTGTTGAGAAGACAGTAAGAGGCATGCAATCCTACATGAAAAATATATGGGGAAGCATTTATATTTGTCTCTGCTGTTGACTTGCAAATTCAAGCAAATCAAATATTTTTAAGAAATGTCATTCATAAAGTCTTGCTCTAGAAGAACCACCCTTCACAACATCATATATTTATGACAGAATACTGCAACTAAAAAAAGCACATCATGGAACTGTAACCCAAAAGACATTACCATTTGCATATGAAAACACTATGTACAGATACAAAACAAAAACACTCTTCTCAATAATAGTCATAAATTGCTCTTTTATCTTAAAACATCATTGCAAGCAAAACAGTATTGTGTTTGTCACTAACTAGAAATAAAGAAATGTTAAGTTTGCTACAAAGTGTTTTTTGTTTCTTTGTTTTTTTTAAGCCTCCAATCAAAAGATGCTCTCCAAGACGAGTGTTGCCTGATGCCTTCCAGTCCCCGCATACATTATTTGGCATAGAAGAGCTCTCCTCTAGGCACAACATACAACTACAATGAACGAACAAGGCTCAAAACTGCCAATATATTTTTTCAAGTTTGTAAAGAACATTGCTTACAGGACAAGTAATTTTGCTGAAAACAGATGTCTAAAGAAATTCCAAACAATTATGGTTTCTCAGAAATACGCTGTGATTTTTATGCTTCATGACTTCATCAGTTCCTGTAGTATTCTAAAACCAGCAAGTACTGAAAGTGTTATTGCTTTAACTAATGTAGAGAAATGACAGGAATGAAAAAAATGACAGGTATGCTTCCACTCCAGTTTTCCTGCTCTGATAGTTTCTCTGACCAAAGCACTGTTCCTGAAAATCATGTTATAGAAGACATTTCTACCTTCCAGAAGAGCTCTGAGGGGGAGGAACCTGTGATGGTTACCTTCATTCAGTTAGTGTTTGAATGATCTCGCTTTGTGAACCCATGCAACTGTGACATAAGAACAGGCAACCCAAGTTGCATCATATTCAGTTCCAAACTGATGTAGATGCAGTGGCAATTAGTTCCGCTCAATTCTTCCCAACCCTAACAAATGTGCATGAGGGTGGATAGGGCACACACTATTTCTTCTGTCATAAATACTCCTAATTTGTATGTCTATAGCTATCCAAGTCATTACATATCTTTGGTAACAAGGAAACACAGCTTGATTTTATCCAACGTTAACCAAATACTCATTCGCAGAAATATGCACACACATACATAGACGATACTTTATATTCATGAACAATATATGAACTCACAGTACAAATATACACATAGTAAAATCATTTAAATGGACTCAAATGCAAGGATAACTACATTCTGAACACTCTACGATGGAAAATGTAAACATACTAAAATTTACTGAACATTGTGATGTGAACACGTAAACTCTCATATATATACATATATACGTACAAGCACACTCAGAGGCACATTATGCAGGTTATTTTTGAAATTGCTAATACATTTAGAAACTTTTTTTCTTTTTAAACTTCTCTCGACATATTTCAACTGACAGGTATACCATCGCTTACAGAGTTTTTCCTTTTCCCAAACTGAGAGAGAATCTATTTTTACAACACTACCCCACCTAAGAAGTAATTACATGCATCAGTGAAATCAGTAAATCTGTACTCATTTTCCTCATAAGCTATTTTGAGCTATAAAAGAGGTTAATCTACCACCTTTTCTAGAATATATGGAAATGCTGTCAAAATTACTTATTTATTTGTCATGATAATTATTGTTCTCTGCCTAATAAAGTATCCTCCTTTGCCATTTAAGCAACCAATTTATTTTTTGAGATCAGAAAACATGATTATTCAAACTCCTTTAATTTAATTCAGCAACCTGTCAAGATAAATCATATAATAAAAACAGAGCTATTCTTCTTGCATATTCTACCAAATTAACTCTCTTAATATTTCATGTTTAAAGAGGGGAGGGATAGTTCTGAGACAAAATATCTGCGAACTGTTGGGCTTGGAAGAAGATTACATCATCTCTAAATGTAACATTCCAACAACCTCACTTGCTTTGTCTTGTATTACTTCACCTTTTTCTACTCTAATCTGCTTGGAGAACATTTCTGAAGTTAAGACTCTTCTGTCTTCAACACATGGATGGTCAGTCTCCCTATTTGGTAGCTGCTACTCAAAATACGCACATAAACAGTCTTCCATTTCAATATAGATTTGTTTATTATACTCACTGCTGCTGTGTCACAGCATCTTCCAGCCATGCCTTTTTCACATGAAACATATAGTGTATCACAGTTTCAGAAGTTCAATCACATAAGGTATGATGAGGCGGCTGACTTCTGTCACAACTAAAAAAGCATTACCTGAACAAGACAAGACAGCTGCCACAAACAAGAAATGCAAGTGGTTTTTTTCCTATCAGGTCTGATTTAGAACAATACAATCTTCCCTTCACACTTACATGCTGGTTTAACAGAAATCAATGATGAAGGTTTGTAACCTTTTTGCTTTTCCCTACAGTTTCAGGATTTAAGCACCAGCTTAAATAGATAGAGTTGAAAATCAGAACAGACCTCCTTCCTTAGCGGGCAATTGGAAAAAAACCCAAATCTCTGACTAACAAGCATACCTAATTCAGTAAGTTCCTAAAAAATATATTTCTTATTTCCTAGCACTCCATTTTTCTTCATTAACTGAACTCAGTTTGCACAATAAAGCCCTCAGCATACTACCTTCAACATCAAGTAATCCAAATCTATTGTCCTTTTTTTTACATATATATAAAAGGACAAAGTCTGTGGTTTTTTCTCATTTTTCTCATTTTTGTTTTTACACCCTTGGTACAGTTCTCTGAAAGCTAGGAAAATATCAGTCAATGTCAGTTAGTTTTGTAAACCTTCTTTCTTCTCTTCTATTGCCCAATTCTAAACATTGGATCTAAACTCGTAAGTCATGTTCCTCTTAGTAATTTAAAATAAGGGAGTCCATGTATCTTGGAGGTAAGAAAAACATATTTACTTTGATCATGAAGTGACGGCTTTGATTTTGAAGCAGATGCACTGTAGTTGCTTATATTGGGTTTGATGTTAACTGAATAAGAATAAATCCTCACAACTTTACATATCATGAAGTTGTGTCCAGACCAAACAATTCTGCAACCACTTCCATTTACTGTATTTTACACTACTGAATCTCTTTGCAAAGATGAAAACAAATATACAAAAAGCACAATGAAATAATAATGAACAAGCAATAGGTCAGAATAACTGAATGCCAACTAAAAGGAATAAAGCACCAATTACAGAAACCATGTTAAACAGATTTAGGCTAAATTCCCACACAGCTGTCCATTTAAGAACTGACATAAATTGCTGAAGTGGACTCAGTTAAAATGAAATCTGTAATAATGAACATTGCATAGAATATAAATTCATTGCTGTCATCCCTCCAAATCAAAGAGCTTTTGATGATTCTGAGTACCGAAGATTTAATTTTATCCTCTTTAAGGCAGAAAAAATACTGAAAGAATTGGTCATGGTTTCGATTTCAGAAGTAACAGAACTCTAAATATTTATTTATTTGTTATTATGCTAACGGTCACAATAGTACTGCACCTGTCTTCAAGATATCTAAACACAGATGCACTGAATTAGAGAATTTTTTTGCATCAATCCTGCCAAAGCCCACTTAAAATGAGGGTGAGATACGATTCTAAAGATGAGGAAAGTTCTATTTCACATGCCTACATATGGATCTAAGAACTTTACTACAGACATCACATCTGTGTTTTTATTTTTATTATTCTGTGATACTAGATTAAAATTGAGCGGATGATAAAATGTTTCAGCAGTGTAAAGATATTTATCAATTCATACAGCTGAAGGAAATAAGTATTAACCATTATTTCCTATTAAACAATTTTAAGATTTCAATGCACAGTTTTTAATGTTTTGGATGTATAAAGAAATACCAAGATCAATAATTAATGAATACATATTTTACCAATTAAAATGAGGATTATAAATGCCTGGAAAGAACAAGTTTTCAATTTTATTTAAATTTTTTAAGTTATGGGTTTTTTTTTCAGATAAGCAATGAATTCAGATAAGCAATATTTACGATCATTCTTGTTTTCTGTCTTCAGATTTTGCCAAACAGGATAGTAAAGACAGGCTATGTACTCTTCGGGCATTTCAAAGCAAGAAATAATGTAGCTTTCTAACACAACATTTCTGTAATTCTCCAAGCAAAAAAAAATCAGTTTTGAAAGGCAGCAATACTGTACCTTGATTTCTTCTATTTCATCTGGCACTATCTTGTATGCAGATATAGTCCCACCCAACCTGGAATTGAGAGAAGAAAATATTCTCAGAATCAAAAGCAATCAAAGGACAGCATGTTAGCAGCGTTGTGACCCACTTCAAAACACAAAAAAATCCCATTTGTCAATTCAAAGGTAAAACCCACCCAAATCCAAAATAACATTAAATAAATAAATAAATAAAATAAAAATGAAATAAAAATAAAATAAAAATGAAATAAAAATAAAATAAAAATAAAATAAAAATAAAATAAAAATAAAAATAAAATAGAAATAAAATAAAAATAAAAATAAAACAATTTAAAAAAATAAAATAAAATAAGGGCCAAAGCAACCTCAACACCTTTCTCCCTTATGTCATTAAAATAAGCATTCAGATACACAGTATCCTTCACTAAGCTCCATAGTAAGAAATAGGTCAACCAAGTGGAACTACCATTGCCAGGATATTATAAAATACATTAAATCACATTAGTCATTTTATTTCTTTTCTAAGCTGTATGGAAGACGTTAAATATTTTAGGCCTGAGATGCTTTGTGTCAGTATTTTACTGAGTTGTTAGTGTACCTTATGTGTATACAAACGCAATTCCAGAAACTGAAATTTTCTAACTGTACAAACCTCAAAGACCTCACAGTTTCCACAGCTTCATGTTCACAATCACTAATCACAAAGTGAAATCATTAGCACTGATACCGAAAAGCTGGTTGTTTTTTTTTTCGTTCCACACATTCGATTTGCTGAAAAGCTATGATAAAAGGCAGTTTTTCTGTCTGCATCCTGCAAAAGCTTATGGTAAATAATCATCCTCACGCAGAGGAAGAATAAAGACCATGTAGCATACATGGTGGTTAATATTTGGTGGTTACTACTGTATTTTCCCCAGAGACATGCAAACATGGCTTCTTCTATTTTATGAAGCAGCATCATTGATAGTGACAATTCAGACCTAAAAATATAACAGCATTAATGACCTTCCTGCTGGCTCTGCACAACAACATTAGACATTCCCTGGGTCCTACAGAAATGGAAATCAGATAAGAAAATATTTATTGTAAAGCAGTAGCCAGTTATCAAATGTGTATTTGTATGCGTATCCTCGTGTTATGAGATTTTTCCTTACAATTGTCAGCATTTCTACACAGATGTGTTTCTTTATATTCCATCTTGAAATTGTTATACACATTGCTTACTCAACCTTAAAAGGGAAATGGGAAACAAAGTGTAACAGAGCAAATACATTAAGATTTTCCCTGTAAATCCAGCATATTGATATTTCTACAGTCACTCTCAGAAATGAACAATTTGAAGGCTTCAGACAGAAGAGGAAGCCTGCATAGGAAAAGTCAGTACCAAATAGCATCAGCAATGATTACCAAGACAGGATCTCCAGATGCTACAGCATTCAAATTTATCATGGACAGTCAGAAAGTATAGCCTTTCCTATATCCTCTGCAACTTCCTCTGCTGCTCATCCCCAATGCAGCTGAACATTGAAGAGAACCAAGAGAATTTTTTTTGCTACTGCAAGTGAAAATGGGAGGTTTTACTTGTAACTGCATCTGATCTTTGTTCTAAGGTCATTGCCAGGGATAGCTGTAATAAATAAATAAATAAATAAATAAATAAATAAATAAATTGCTTTTAATACCATTATAAAGGCTTCCTTTAGCACCATGACAAAGGATGGCTCAGACGTCATGAACATGAGTAGCACTTGTCATGAACATGTCATGAACATGTCATGAACACGATTGCTACTGGCAGACGGCCTTTAAGAATGTGGTTTTTTAACTGTTTCTGATCCATTCATGTCAGAAGTACCCAAATGTTAACTTCTACATCTTTACATCCCCTAGCAGAAGGAAAAGACAGAGCATCTGCTACCAGAACTCCACTAGTAGGAAATCCTTTACTAGTCACCCTTGGCACAACATTAGAAAAAAACTAAATGAAAGTAATAACTGACTCAGTAAACTCATCTACCTTGCTTAAAGCATTAATGAGCATCATTTTCTGCAAACATTTCTGCAAAGTTTGTGTCAAGAATCTACCATACTCTAAAACTCACCAAGTAACAATCAAAATGATGGCACATTTTAAAGTAGTTGTTGTACATTAGCAAATTGGATATTTCACAATTTCATAGTTTTGAAAATGAAAAATACATTAAAAGATACGCTGTTAAATAGCCTTGCACCTTTAGCTCCAACTCTCCACATCTAAAATAAATTTTCGATCTTACAATTACATCTTTAGCTTGGAAATCCAGGCTACATAAATAAATAACAAATTTGAAACTGAAAAAAGAACATGAATATACAATTCTATAAATGCTTCAGAGTCCGTAATCCTTTCTACATTTCAGAACATAAGATTTTCCTTCATTTCTATTTACTGGAAGAGAGATCCAGTATTGCCATGGAAATTTGGTAATACAGAGGAACATAATGAAGATGTTTGACTTTGTGTACAAAATTTGACAGTGAGTTTCACAAAATTTTAAAGGTAGCCCACAAATCAGCAGGATCCAGTTAACACAGCCTGAATTCTTCTACTGGTTGTAATTACAGTATGTGTGAGGCACAGAATTGATTTTACTATGTAACTAGGTATCTATGAGGAAGAAAATGATTTAAGCTGTGTATTTGGCAGCCTGTAAGTATTTTAACATTAACAGATAAATTTTTAACGACTAGTTCAATTTCAGAGACAAAATATTACACCATACAATTCAATCATCTAACTAGTTTGTTGGAATCAGAAGTAGTTGTGAAACACATTGCACACTCTTCACTCAAAATGTCAAAAAACCCAGTTTATTCTAGCCTCGTGTTAAATAGTCTAAAAACAAATTTTAAATTGCTTAGTTTTGTGTTACCATATCATTATTATAAATGTCCCACAATCAGATCAGAGAACTGTAAAGGTTGGAAGTGGCCTCAAGATCATAGAATCCAACCCCCCTGCTAAAATAGGTACCCTATATAAGGTCACACATGTAGGCCTCCTGATGGGTCTCAAATATTTCCAAGAAGCATAAGCCCATAGAGACAGACATATCCATTAAAAAGTTACTGAAACAAAAACATTTAGATGAATCATAAAAAACATCAGCAAAATCAAAACAAATTTAAAATTCAATGCATTAATCAGCACGTCCAACCCAAGGAAAATATCAGATTTCAAAGATTTATCTAAATTACATTTACATGTCACTGTTAATTGTACCCTGTCTTGAAGTTCACGTTATTTTGCATATCCTCAACTTGAGCGCTAGCACTTTAAAGAACAGAGGTCAGCCAGGTTTCAGCTATGCAAGGTACCTACAGAATGAGTGATACACAACGGTGTCTGGCAAAATATGAGCACTTGGCAATCATTTTTTGCATTTTCTTGAAAGCAATTTCTCTTGCATACTGATTTTGCTCACAGACTATTAAAACATTTTACATTAATTTCTTTTGATTGTATTCAAGAAGTAATTACACCACAATCAGAAAAGCAAAGGATCTGCTAGCAAAAAGAACACATTCACTACAGTACATTTAGTACACCAGGATGTAACACAGCATAGCATATAGAAGCATTAGAAGGCCCAGAATTCAGTTTAACAGGGATCAATTTTTCATGCAGATTCACTCTTCATCTTTCACACAGTCTGCTTTTATTATCGCTTTTTTCTTGAGCTGAACAATGTAACAGCCAGCATCCTAGAGCACAAATGGCATTTTCTCTCAGAATGAATATACAACAAACCAAGAGCAAAGTGAAATATACAGCCAGCTACATCATGAAGTTGAAAAAGTAGCCATCTGAAGAGACAATGCTCTAAGTCTGCCTCTTCCAAACTTTATTTAATAATGAAATTATTTCAAACACTTGTTAGCTCCAGTTTGTGTGTGTATACAACAGATATTCTCTGAAAATTGCCACAATTTATATTCATGTCTATCTCATCAGGTTTGTATCCCACCTTGTGCAAGTAACACAGATACTCCAATTCCTCTCATCTGTTTGCAGAAAAGAAGTGAAATTATTCCCAGATATAGTCATTAGAACAAAAGACAAGACACAAGAAAAGCAAAGAACCACACCTTATAGTGGGCAAAACTAGCAGAGATCTCTGAGAAGAAATCCAAAAAGATTAGACAGAAATTCCATAAAAATAATTAGGAAATGAAAAATCTCACATAACTGTTTGTGAAAGCATGCAAAGTTTTTGTCTTTTTTTGGGAAACTTTTTATTCTAAAAGTGCATCTCAGGATGAAATGTAATGCATAGACTGTAGGAGAAAGCTCACAACCAGGATTAAAAAAAATGTTCAAAGAAGAGTTGCGAGAGCAACCTCAGAAATTAGGAAAATACAGGAAATATACTGAAGTAAGGTCAATACAGTTGCATTGAAACAGACAAAAGCTTTACTATTTCACAAATCAAATCATAATATCACTGAAGAGGGAAGATCTGAATTTTATCCAAGTTATGAAAAGTTAAAAACCAGGAGGAAGTGTGCTCAAATGAAGGCCAGAAACAATGAACCACAGCCCAAATATCCCATTGGTAAATCAGAAAAAAATTCAAGATAACGAAGTTTAATGAAAAATTAACTCTTTTAGTAAGCATAATTTATTCTGGATATAATGTTATAGTAGCCACAAACTTATTTCCCATTATAGTTCCAAGTCAAACTTTGGACTGGTTTGTCCCTGTGCTCCTTTGCCCACGTACGTTCAAGGTGGGTGCGCTACACTGCCACTGCATAACTACAATATGCTTGTGCAAAACACTTGTGAACCTGCATGGAACCAATTCTGTTCAACTTTTATAATCCCAGTGTTGATCAAAGGTAAGAACACGCTCTTAACATACTGTTCCATGTTCAGTGACTGCCATAAGAAGCTGAGTTATTGATTCTAACTTAATAAATGAGTCATGCTGAAAGCAATGAAGTCAGTTTTCTAAAAATATCAGTACAGCCAGCTTGGCTGCTGTCATTTGCCAAAGTTCTCCAATGCCA